GTTACTTTCTGTATACTCACTCGCTAGCAATACTTGTGTATAACTTTGCATAATGTGTTAGGTGTTCATTCGGGACGCCTTCGGTCTTGATTTTCCCGTAAAACGATAAACTCATGTTCTTTGCAGTGTTCATTTCCTGTCCTTTGATACTCTTGTTACCCAAACACACACACACATATTGTGTGTGTATATGTGTGTGTGTGTACGTGTGCGTGTGCGTGTAGAGATGGACAGTATTTCGATATTATCCGCGATACTTATCAATCGATCCTTTTGAACTGATATTGCTATTGCCTTGGCTGCATAAGTTGATTGGTCATTTATGAATTTCTTATTTGCACTTTTTATCTGCTCTAAGTATTCAGTGTGGTACAGAAAATGGATCAGCAAATCAATTGTAGATTTTAAGGTAAAAACAGAAAAAAATGGCCATATCTCGCGTAAACTACATTCTTAAAAACACGACAGAGGTGCTTTTTGTTTTGCCAAAGAAGAGGACTTGAATTGTTTTTTTATATATATAAATGCTAAGCAAAATCAGAAATAGAAATGACACAAGAATTATTATTTTTCAAAACTTTCTGTGTTATTACATAGCAGCACATTCATCCGGCGAAAATTCACACTTGATACTTCCTTTCCATTCCTTTGTTATTGCATAATCACAATACTGGGCTTTTTAATATTAATTCTTAACGGACAAGAATTACGCACCAATGACAAGGCCTCTTACTTAGCTGATGTGGGTTTGACGCCATATACCTAGTGTGTGTTGCGTATTTCGTAGTGAATCGAGACCAACGGGAAGCAATCACTTCACCCACGTTCGTTTTGGTCAACAAGAGACAAGTCATTTACCTGATTATAGCCTATGTCAACACGTATTTTAACATTTACGTGTCTCCTTTTCCTGTTTTGCTTTGCTTGCTGTCTACCTATCTATTATAGTTATCTGTTAATCACTCCAGGCTTGTAAAATCCTAAAGTTCATGCTTTATCTCTTACTTTCCACAGAGTATAGCCCGAGTCGCCAGTTCGAAAACATCCGGCCGGTTGCTGCATTTGTTCAAGCAGGATTTATTCTCATTCTCTTTATACTTATTATTTATATGTATTCTTTACATCTCATTCTCTTTATACTTATTATTTATATGTATTCTTTACATCTCATTCTCTTTATACTTATTATTTATATGTATTCTTTACATACATACATGTAAGGTAACAGTAACGCAGTACTGCTACATAATCCTGGTCACGGGACAATTCCAGGTCGCTGTCCCTTGGAGATCTGATCTGCACCTCCCTTATTACATTATTCACCTGATGCGAGCACCACCTGGCCACCCACGCATCGTACACCGGGCATGTATGTGGTAGCGGCCAAAACGGGGTGAGCGGGGGAGTCCAGGTCACGGCACTCGCATACGTGAAAAAAAAAACAAGTTGTTAATACTGGTGTATAATTCAACTAGATTTGCACTATAATTTATCTGTATTTACATATAGCTAATTATCAGAAATGCAGGAGTACTTCATATCCACAGTACTTTATACTGAACTTTTCATCACTAATTAGCCAAGGTAAATGAGGAATACCAAAACGCTGCTTGCCTGTTTATTTTAGTCGTAGAGCCTAGCTACATGTTCACCACCCTTGCACCAGTCGCTAAAAATCCAAACATATACAGTGGTGAATTCCCGGCAAAATACATAATACTAACCAGTGACCTTTGTTAAAAATCGCAGCGGGTTCGAGCAGCAAGGAGGCGAGAACAGATCTGCCGGTACTCCCAAAGTACCTGGGGGGTATCTACGCCCCCTAGCCAGGGTATTGGCTAATGCCTTGACGACATGGATACCCGTGAGTGGCTGCCGTGTCACGGTTTGTGACGTCACTAATGACGACATAGACCACTAGCATGACGTCACTAGCAGACGCCATCACGAATATATTTAAAAGGACAATAAAACTCTTCATGGACTTGTCGTACCAAAGGGGGGGAGGGGTACCGTGGTAGGACAAGGAGTGGGCGAATCGTCCCACTATATACATATATTTACATACACTTTAATGTTTTTATTGCTATCATCAAAATAATGTAAAATTATCATTGATGTCATCAGTATTTTTCTATAATAGTTGTTCCATATAAATTTCCAACCATATAATGAAAAGAGTGTAGGCCTATAGCTTTGAAAAACTAATCTGCCATTATTATGATAATCAAGATGCAATGCTTATGGTAACTGGAACAATAATACATGATTAGTTTCTGGAATCGCGTTGCATAACCGATCGCGACGATTTTAGAATCGCCGGACTCATGTTACTCTTTACTATTCGAATGCATAAAAGCTATGCCGCGTACCCTCCCCATTAGCGACAAGCTTGGCCCCAATAGCAGGGGAGGGTATGGAAGGTACCAGTGAAACTACAGGGAAAATATGAATAAGATCTAATAGAAATGCATCTCTAGTAACCATGAATAAGTCATTGAAATAAAGATATAATAGAAACGCATTTCTAGTAACAATGAACAAGTCACTGAAATGTATAATGCGACCCCCGCTGGAGGCTGCCGCCCCCCAACCTTCAGCCTGGAAAACAAAGAATCCACCACGTATATATGGCAGGAGAGACCATGAAGGAATCACATGAGTACTGGAATATGCCCAGAGATACTGAATACTCACATGTAACGTAGTCAGCGACGTATACTGAGTAGGGTGCAGGGTATACAAAGTGGAGCCGCCTGATACCCGCTCTCCTCGGCCACCACACCGACAGCCAAGGACGTGGCGGTATTATAGGATGATGGAGTGGAATGACACACATACATCTAGAGGACGTATGGGAGTAACAGACACTAGATGGGACTAATTATACCATATAGATCCTGTCCTGACAGTAAAGTCGATGCCGCGAGATCGACTTTGCTTCTTAAAGAAACCATGAACTATACGGGTTCGCAATAGGAGTGCTCTATACGCGATCATAACAGGAATTCTCGGATTCGAGATACGCGGCGCATGCAATCATAGTTGCTACGCAACGACAACTGCAGTGAAAACATTCCTTGCAGAAGCTGTTGTACTCTTCCTCGTCTGGAATTAGCCGCAAGTTTTGCTTTTCGAAATGCCTTTACGTTGTGCTGCATATGGCTGCACGAGCCATAATAAAATGGAAAACAAGCCTGGATTCTTCCGTTTTCCTAATAATAAACAAGAATTTCGGGAAAAATGGATAAACGCATGCAAACGCCAATACAAAGATGGCACGCCATGGAGGCCTAAGGGCAGGAACGTTTACCTTTGTGGAAACCACTTCATTACAGCTAAGAATCGAGCTTTTGATGCTAAAAATAAAAATTTACCTATAAAGGTATTCCAACTACCAAGGTTCTGAGCCTTGGAGAACTAACAATAACTATATGAAAACTTACCTTAGGCCAAGGGTAAATTGGTTTCATGGCCCTGGATTCTTAATGCCATGTGATTATTCTTATCAAATTCCCCCTCCCCAATTTTGTCGTCTGAGGCATTATTTTTGGCATCTGAACGGAATAAAGAGGAGTAATTTTTTTCAGGGAAGCCAATGAAGAAGGATCCAAGTCATCCAGTCTATGTCCCTTCTATTTTTATGTACACGCAAAAAGTTGCTAAAAGAGAGCAAGATAAAATGAAGCGGTTTGAATCAGCAAAGAAGAGAAGAGAAAAGGTAGCAACAGTGTCTCAAAGGAAGAGAAAAATTCAAAAGATTTCCTCCTCTGATACAGTGCTCAATGCAGTGATTCTAATGAGAAGCAACGAACTGTTTTCACTGCAGCTGCGCGCGCATTCACAAATAAAAAGCATGTGACATCAGCTCGAATCCAAGAATGGGACGGGTCTGACGGATCCTCCGCGTATGACCATCCATTACCGTCGCGATGGCCGAGTGTGAAGGTGGTCACACTCCGTAACCAGAACCTCCTGCCGCTGCACAAGCACTTCCTGGGTCTAATGAAATTAGACAAAATTCTTTAGGTAAAACGAAAAATAATAAGAATGATAAGAAAAGGATGAAGAGGAAGCAGGAGGAGAAAAAAAAAGCTAACAAAAAAGAGAAGGAGAAACAGAAAGAAAGGAAAAGAAAAAAAAAGATAAAAGTAAAAGAAAAATAAAGTTAGACAATTTCCAATATATGTAGAGGTCCGGATAGATATTTTACATACTATCATGAAAATATTCAAAATTATTCTAAGGTTATATATATGCCTCTGGGAGCATTTGTAGGTTAAATACACATGTTCAATAGACCCCTAACTTACCCTGCAATCAGTCGAGGAAATACACTTTGAAGAATCCATCGCCAGAACCTTATTTTTATTTAATTATACTTTTCTCCCTCCGCTGCAACACAGAATTTTCGAATTCGGACCAAGAGTAGCCAGTTGAGTAACCTGCCCTTAAAGGTTCAATCAGAAGTCCTCTCTCTATATTTTTTCTAATTATCGTTTCCTGCATCTATCATTGCTTCAGATGGATAATTTGAATATGTCTGCAGTTTTTGTTTCCCTCGGATATATTTATTTGTTTATCTGTTTATCCATTTATCTAGTTTATCCATCTATCAGATACCTGTTTATCTATTTATCTATTTCTAGCTGGGACTGATGATAATTATGATAATGATAATTTTGATATTATTATTATCATCATTATTTAGTTGATGATTAATATGTGCACAGCTGGTGAATACAGAAATTTATAATTGTATTATTATAAACAATACCTTTTATGGTAAATAAAAAAACAAATTGAAAAATAACATTACGATTTTCATTATCATTTTGAACAGCAATTTAAACATCTTAGCGTTATTTCATTGCCAAGCTCATTTACTATAAACTTCTGGTAAAATGTAATTCTTCAAATCTTTTAGATAGCTATAAACAGTTTTCCAATCCTCTCCTGTGGTATTCAAGACCAGCGGTAATATCCTCGCTCGCGTACGTAACATAGAATACTATGCTTGAATTTCGCGCTAGTGCCTTGTGGGAACAGTAATTGTCAGCAGTAACACATTTGTTAACATTGTCGAGAAGCATGAGGACGGATGTTAATATAAGAAAACAAATTAGTAGCGACAGGGTGAGAACAGAATCTTGAGGGCCACTAGCATGATGTGATTTACAGGAAATAAATATTTTTTTCCGCAGCTGTTGGTGTCGAGTTCGGAAGTCTTTGTGTCAGCTGTGCAGTAAAGACATTTCCTGTGTTTATTTGGTTTGAAATTTAGTTTATTTGGTAATAATGACTTAGTACTAGTATGATCGTGTAGTTATATGATTTATATATTTATTGTGTCACGTCCAAAGCTTGCATGAAAAAGGAAAGTTATTTTGCTCGAAAAAAAAGAAAAAGAAAAAAAATCTGTCATGCGTTTTCTGGTATCTTTTATTTTCCCATGAAAGGAATATTTGTTAGGGATTGTATACAAGCAATTAAAAAGCTGGTACTTATTTCTATATGTAGTGTTGCATATTTTCACCATGATTGATTTTGTATATTCATGAGTTAACTCTGATTTAGGTTCCCGCTGGTACGGTCTTGGGTGATTTTGTACATTTTTTTTTATACGTTTATGTACAATGAATACAGAAAAATAGAGAAGCTTTGTTTTAATTCACAAACCAAGACCCAGGAGAGGTTATGTGGATAGGCAAGTTCCCCAGACAACGTTGGGATACTGTAAGTCCCCAGTTAATTTGGCCTGGTTACACACACACACACACACACACACACACATATATATGTGTGTGTGTATATATATATATATATATATATATATATATATATATATGCACATATATACATATATATTTATATACATATATATATGCATACACACACACACACACACACACACACACATACACACACACACACACACACACACACACATACACACACACACACACACACACACACACACACACACACACATATATATATATATATATATATATATATATA